GCACGCCCATGCTGCAGCCCCGAGCCCCTCAGGGCGCCGGGGGGAGCAGCATCCCTGCCCTGCTCCCTGCCCCTGCTCCCGCTGCCAAGAGGAAGTACAAATGTCACAACACACCTTGCAGAACAATCGGCAGGGAGCACACGATACGGCTTTAACCGTTTCGTGGCCCTGGCCCTGAGCGCTGCCCTGAGCACAGCCCGGGGGAATCCCGTGTCAGCCCCCGTGCTCATCCAGGTGTAGCTGCTGCACATCCAGCCTGCCCCAAAGGTGCAAATCTGTCCCCGAGCCAGCCCACGGCCCTGGGGTTTGAGATCCAGATTTGTCACTTTTGAGCAGCATCCACGGTGGCAGCGCCCCAGGGAAGTGTGCAGGATCTTGGCTCTGACATCCCACAGATAACCTGGAAACATCCTACGATTCCCCCTCTTTATAGGTAAACCGAGGCACAGAACTTTCTCCCGAATGCCAAAAAGACATCACCCTTGCGACACCTCCAAAGAGCAGCTCTTGCTGGAGAGCCACCCACCAGACCCACACTGCCCATCCCAAAAACGGGACACCAGGAAGCCACTGAGGAATTCCCAAATAAGCCAAAATTCCCCAGAGCTCCTGGCTGGTCTCTGAGCAGCCAGGGTGACTTTTTGGGGCACAGCTGTGTGCTGCTCTGCTCCCAGGCCACGGTGGGACACTGCAAACACCGCTGCTGTCCTTGCTCCCTGCTCTGCACATCCTTGGCAAACTGGGGAAGCTTGTGGGAGGTGGAGAATCCAGGGAGCCCTTGGCTCTGGGAAAGCCGTCCCAAGGCAGTGGGGTAGCAGCTGCCTGTCCCGTCCTTGGCCATACAGAGGATGTCCCAAAGCTCAGGACAGGCCTGCAGGGTGCCAGGGCAGTGGTGGGGATGGAGCAGTGCCAGCTGCAGGGACCTGCTGGACGTGGCCCTGGCTCCAGGACATGCCAAAGGTCACACCAAGAGTGTCCTCCTGCCAAACCATGGCACTCAGAGCCCGTCTGCCACCTGGGCAGCCCCACACAAGTGAGGGGTGGCTGCAGGGGACAGAGGACATCCCCTGTGTCCTCAGCTCTGCTGCCCAGGGTGTTACAAGTCACACTGCTTCTGCAGCCACCCACATTGTGCATGTCACAAAGGGCAAGGGCACAGGAGGCTGCCCAGCACAGCCATGGTCCTACCAAGCTTATCCCACCCTCATCCCTCCTGCTGCTCCCAGACACACAGAGACAGCCCTGAGCAAAGCCCCTGCTCCCTGGGCAGCAGGGAAAAACTGTTCCTTCCCCAGTTTCCATGTGCCCAACATCCAGAGTGGAAATAGGATGGGTTTTTTTAGGGTTTCAAACTCACTGTGGGCACCACAAGCCTCCTGGAGTTTTTGCTCTCATTGCTGCACACTGAGGACAAGGAAGGCTGCTGGATTTGGGGAGGGATGGATCCCACTCATGCTGGTGGGATCTCATCTGCTCCCCAGGTGGGAGGAAGCCCCAGCAGCATTCAGGGTGTCCTGGCAGCCTGGCTGTTACCCAGGCTCAGGCATGGAGCAGCCTTCCAGCATCCCAGTGGGAATCTGGGCCTGCAGCCCTCGTGCCTCACAAGCCTGAGGCTGTTTCCAGGAGGGAGCGCTGGAAGGTCTCGGGGGGATGTGGAGGAGTCACCAGTGGTCCTTCCACATTTAAATCATTTATCCCAGCAGAAACCTGACTGCACCAAGGGTGAGCCCAGTGAGATCATGGAATCATGGAATGCTCTGGGTTGGAAGGGACTTTAAAGATCATCAATTTCAACCCCCTGCCATGGCAGGGATGCCTTCCCCTGGCCCAGGCTGCTCCAGCCCCAATGTCCAGCCCGGCCTTGGGCACTGCCAGGGATCCAGGGGCAGCCCCAGCTGCTCTGGGCACCCTGTGCCAGGGCCTGCCCACCCTCCCAGGGAATGATTCCTCCCCAATATCCCATCCATCCCTGCCCTCTGGCAGTGGGAATCCATTCCCTGTGTCCTGTCCCTCCAGGCTTGCCTGAAGTCCCCCTCCAGCCCTCTCTGAACCCCTTTAGGTCCTGGAATTCAGCTGGGATGTAACCTCCTGAGGAGGGCTCTGCCCCAGGGCTGTGCACATCTTTGGGCAGGTTTGGTGCTGTGGAAGCCCAGGAATGAGGCAGCTCAGACACCTGAGGCAGGGCATTCTCCACGCCGAGCCTGCCGGGCGGGTTTGCTGCCTGACCTTTGAGATGCAGGGGCAATATTTCCTCTTTGAGCTGCTCTGCAGAGATAATGACTTTTGTAATGGATTTCCTGTTCTTTTTATAGAACAGGGAGAGCTGGCAGATCACATCTGAGCTCGCTTTAGTGAGACATAATTATGTTTGCTGGAAAACCTGATCTTTAAACGTGGTTCTCTTTGGTCTGATCCAAAGCATCACAGCAGGATTCAAATGGGCTTCATTGGGAGCAAAAGGAATAGCAGGGAGCAGCCAAACAAGGATTGGGATGTGCGTGGGAACAGCCCAAAGGTGTGAGCTTCCCCATGGGCTGATCAAAGGTCCATCCAGCCCAGTCCTGCCCCAGCAGGAGGACCCAGCAGGTGAGCTCTCCAGCCCTCCTGGAATCTGCTCCTCCTGGACTTCTCCAGCATCCACCAGTTATGTTGTGGAATTTAAATGACACATTCTTATCTCTTGCTTCTACTGACTCTTTTTTTTTTTTTTTTTTTTTTTTTTTTTAATCTGTTTCCATAAATCATCTAAATCCACAGACACTCCCTGGCTCTGCAGCCTCCCACATCCCAAGCAGGTTGAGGTTCACTGGTACCACAACACAGAGGCAGAAATTAATTTCCAAGCAGCCCTATGGGGTTTTGTTGGGCCACAGCAGGGCAGGAATTTTATGTCAGCTCCCTAGGACAAGGAGTTCCAAAGGAACCCTTGTGAGGAGCCTTCAGGTTATCCTGCATCTCTCTTTCCATAAATTGCTCCAGCTCACTTCAAGAAAAGGATGCAACTCCCAGTGTTGGGAACTCCAATGCAAAGTTCCCTCCCTCCCTCCCTGGCAGTGATCAAGCATTTATACCCTGTGCCAGTGAGGGAGAGTTCCCACTTTCTTCCTGGACTTCCACCTGCAGATATCCCCCAGCTGTTAATCTGACTTTCCCTTAACATTCCTGTCCCTTTGCCTCCCACCACAGATCTGGGCAGCAAATACTGAGCTCCCTCCATCTGATAAATCCCCTCCTCACCAGGCTTTGCTGCTCCTTGGGCTGTTCCCTTTTCCCTGGTAGGCTCCATCCTCTTGCCAGGCACATTCCTGAGCTGCTGCTGAGTCCTGGACAGAGCTCAGCCCCTCTCCCAGCACCCAAACCAACCCCAGCCACATTCCTTGTCCTCCCCCTGCCCAGTGGGTGCCACACCACCCCCAAACTCTGCCACCACACCCTCCCTACACGGCAGAGATGTGACACCACGTGCAAGTTCCTCGGGAACATTTTCCTTTAATGAAACCTCAGGTTCGTGTTATAAATGACCAGTCTGGAATCGAATTCAATTCTTGGTCTCAGTGACTTTTTATCACATTAACATTTCACTGACTGTCTCCTTCTCCTTGGCCAGGAGGAGGCAGAGGGAGCTCCCTCTCTCCTCTTGGCAGTTCCAGCCCTCCTGAAGCATCCCTTTGGCCAGGCAGCCCTGGCTGAGCACGGCTCTTTGCACCAGGACCCATTTCCAGGTGCCTCCTGCATCCAGGGCAGCTCTAGGGTTCCCACCCATGCCCAGATCTGCAGCCAGGTGGGGCCTGGGGCTGCTCTTCACGATCCTCCCTGGCTTCCCATCCTGAATCCTGGTGTCCATTCTGGCTGCAGCTGCCCCAAGCAGGAGTTTTGGGTGAGCATCCCTTGCCCGTGGCAGGGAGGAGCCGAGGCTGGTGCCGGTGCCAGGGCAGGATTGCACACAGCAGCAGAGTGTGGCGTGGCGTGAGGATGGCTGAGGAACAAAGAGCTTTGCTGGGGCCTGTGCCAGGTCTTGTACAGCCCCGTCACCAACCTGGCATTGGCTGCCCCAGTCAGGAAACAAAGCTCAGGGCCAGGCTGAGCCTGGGGCAGAGGGACTTGTGTGCTCAAATACTCCTGATCCAGCTGTGCCAGCTGCCAGGATGGGATGTGCCACCTCCAGCTCTGCCCACGTGGGTGGAGGGGATCTCCAGGCACACAGCCCTGGTCACAGCCTGGGGGAAGCTGGCATCAGTGTCAAGGTGAGCCCGAGCTCCCTGGCAGAAACATGAGTGCTTCAGGTCTCAGGCACCTTGGACCACATTTTCAGGCAGAGATGTTGATGTGGCACTGGTTTCAGAAATGAGGGAGTTCAAGCAGAGATGGTCAGGAGGAGGTTGAGAGTTTCCTGGGAGGGAATCAGCTCTCAGCCCTGAGCACATCTTCCAACTCAGACCATTCCCAGACACACTTCCCTTGTCCCTGCCTTGCCAGGTGCCTGGAGCAGCAGGGTCTGGGACCCTCAGCAGGATCTGGGACCCTCAGCAGGATCTGAGACCCTCTGCTTGTGCTGTGTTTCCTGATGCTGCACAGATCCTCCAGCCTCTCTGGCAAATTAGGGGGCTGGAAGGAATTGTGGCTCCAGTCAGATGGCTCCTCTCTGCTGATGGATCCTGCAGAACTTCCTGGGGGATCTGGGTTCCTTCAGGATTTTGCTTCAGTCCCGGTTCCTTTGGGGCTTTGCTTTACCCAGTTTGTGCTGTTGGGTCACTCTTTGGACAGGGGGGCCATACAGAGACCTTGGACCTGCCTTGCTGGGCTCAGCTGAAAATTCCTGCTCCTTTTTTTCCTGGGACGGCTTGGATGAAGTACAAAGTTCATTTTCACACTGGAGACCATGTAGGGAAGACACTGACTGGGGTGAAATCCTCTAGGAAGTACAAGAAAGTGTTTTCATGGCTGATCAACACGGGTTGGTGGAGGGGAGGGGAACCTCCTCAGGAAGGTCCTGGCTGCCCTCAGCGGTTGAAGAAGAAGGACTTGAGGCTCTGTAGGAACTGTGACTTCTGCCTCTGCTTCTGCTTCTTGCGGATGATGGGGATCCAGACCAGGCCACAGACCAGGAGCATCAGTCCCAGGGACAGGAAAGCCGGGCCGGTCATTTTGTAAACGCTTTTGTTCTCGGTCAGGAAGCAGGACAGGCTGGTGATGACCATCCCGAAGAGGAAGATGGCAACTCCCACGGACACCACGATGACGGGTTTGTGGTAAATGTCCCACTTGCTCCTGGGCGCGCTGGTCCACACGGACTCGCTGCGGGAGCTCATGCACAGGGTGCTGCCCGTGTCACTGGTGATCAGCTCCTTGGACTGCGGGGACTTCTCACTCCCATCAGGACTCTTGGGGGGGATTTCCATGGTGGTGGGATGGGAGGAAGAGACCTGGGATGGACACAAGAGAAAGCAGAGCAGGTGATGGAGGATGGAGGGTGCTTCCCTTTGGTCATCAGTGAGTGCAGCCCAGATGGAGGTGGAGAAGGTTTTGGGGGTCCTTGCAGGGAAAGAAGAGCATCACACCCATAAAATGGTAGAACACCCATAAAATGGTGGAGCAGGCACTGGGATCCTGCAAGCAGGTTGGGCAGCACAGCTCTTCCCAAGCACCACACAAAGCTTTAGCCCAGAGCAGGTGACCTAAAGCCCACTGCAGCCCCCCATGTCTGTTTGCTCTGCTCAGCAGGGATGGCTCTCCAGGAGGTGGCACCTCACAGGTGAGCCTAGGGCAGGCCTGTGGCTCAGCAGGTGTGCAGGAGGTGACCCTGGAGCCTGTCAGCTCTTTCCCTGGAGCTGCTGATCCATGTGGGAGCAAGTTCCACGTCAGGGTGGCCACGCTGAGGCTGCAAGGCTGGCACAGCTCCAGGGGCTAGAGGAAACCTGCCCAGAGCTGGGCCATGCTGGGCTCAGTGCCCACCGAGGGATGCTGATCAGCCAGCACCTCCCTCACTCCTTCACCCGTGTCCCTGCCAAGCTTGGTGCTTACTCTGAGAAGAGACAGGTGTATAAATTTTATAATTTAGTCCCCCCAGCACAGCCACTGCTGCAGAGCTGGTGGTACTGACATGTTTTGGGACGTTTCAGGTCTGCCAAGCTTGGACAAACAAGCACAAAACAAAAGCCAGGAGCAGTGGACAGGATTGGCAGCCCTCCTGTCTGGAGTTCTCAGTGCTCTCTGTTGAAACAGGAAATACAGGGACACGTTTCTGACAGAGAATCCCAGAATCCTTTAGGTTGGAAAAGCTCTCTCAGCCCATCCAGCCCCAGCTGTGCCCCATCCCCACCTTGTCCCCAGCCCAGAGCTCTGAGTGCCACCTCCAGGAATTCCTTGGACAACTCCAGGGATGGACACTCCAAACCTCGCTGGGCATTTCCAAGGCCTGAGCTCCCTTTCCATGGGGAAATTCCTGCTGCTGTCCCCCCTGAGCCTCCCCTGGCCCAGCCTGAGGCCGTTCCCTCTCATCCTGTCCACTGAGGCTCTGCATGAGCAAAATCTTTGCTCTGCTGCCACCTACACAACCTGCCCTGGGATCAGCCCAGTCCCCCAAAACCCCCAGCAGCTGCAGCTTTGCAGGGAAGTGCCCAAATCCTGAGTAATTCCAGGTGCCACCTGCCCACCAGCTGCCTCACTTGGAGCACTGCTGCCTTCTGATCCCCCTCTTCCAGTGCAATCCAGACCTTTCCTGAAGTTTCATCATTTCCTGTCTTTGTCCTCCTAATGTACATCATGGAGAGGTTTTATGATCAAGCCACCATCTAATTTTAATTTGGTTTTGTGGTTGGAAGTTTGTTTTGTTCTCTGGAATAATCCCACACCTCAGCAGTCTAAAAGTGGCTGTGCTGTTCCATCTTTTAGGCATCCCACTCCCTGCTTCCCTGTGTGCTGCCATCCTGATTCTGCATCCCAGGGCAGCAGCTCTGCTGGGCACCCTCCCCTCTGTGTGCGGAGCATTAATGGCAGGTTGCTGCAGAAACCATCAACTGCCTTTCAGCTTTGCTTTCCACTAGAGAGGATTTATTCCCCTTTTTATTTCCTGGCAGAACCATCCCTCTCACCACAATTCCCAGACCCCACTCATTTTCCCAGCATTTCCTGGCAGAGCCTGGTTTTCGGTCACACTTTTGCCCACTGTTGGCTAATGAAGTATTTCAATCCCTGTCAGTGCCTGGAGCTTGTTTGGGAGCACTGGGAGGATCTGCAGCTCTTGGGAGAGCTAATGCAACTCCAGCTCCTGCCCTGCCCCTGCTCCATCCCTAACCCATCGCAGATGTGCTCGGATGCGCTGGATGCACTGAGCAGCCTGGCAGGAGAGTGCTATCGGATTCCTCCCAGTTTTTTTACCATTGTTGGAAGCAGATAATCAGCAGATGACTCTTTGCTGTCTTGAAAATGCCTCCAGAGCACGTCTCAGATTTCACATCTGGTAGTTCTGCTGCCGTTCTGAAGCCCTGGGCAGCTCTCGCTGCTGGGGTCTCTCCCTCCCCTCTCCGAAAGGGACACTCTCCTGGGATTTTGTTTCTCCTCCCTTTGCTCTTCTGGTGCTCTGTGTGGTGAAGTTTGGTTTTGGAACTGGGAAATCTTGGGGGGTTCCTTGCTGGGGACCCCAGTGCCAAGGCACAGCGCACCTTTGGGATCCTGAATTTGGGGCTCCAGCCCCACATCCCTCTGGGAATCAACAGTCATGGAAGAGAAAATTTTCTGCCACGCTCATGGACGTGCACAAACTCAGCAGAAACTTTTTCTTGGATGTTTGTGCTGGCCAAATTTAATCAAGACTGGCTCTCAGTCAGTTCCCAGACAGAGAGATGAAAATCCAGCCAGCCAGCATGCCCGAGGTCCCCAGTAAACCCAGAATGATGAAGACTGGAGGCTGCTTCCTGGGGGAGAGGGGACCTGTCCTGTGATGAGCAGCCCCCATCCCTCAGGCACCTGTGCCTGGGGGACAGCACCCAACCCTAGAGAGGGAAATGGCACCCAAACCCCCGAGGGACCAAGTGCTGAGCCCCCTCACCTTCCTGTGCCTCTGCTGTCCCCGCTGCCACTGGGGCGTGGTGGCTGCAGGTGGCTGGTGGCACTCACCGTGCCCTGAGCGACCCTGCCAGCGGCTCCTGCAGGCACCAGAGCAGCAGTCAGAGCAGCTCCAGCTTGGTGCTGCTGTGTGCCAGCCCCAGGAGGGCTGGACTCTGCTGGGCTGAGCCCCAGGAGGGGACAGGGAGGTGTGGGTGCCAGGGATGGCTGCTAGAGCCCCGTTCCTGTCTCCATGCCTCAGGAGCGGGCTGGCAGTGGCTCCGTGGGCAGCTGGCCCTGCAGACTGGCTGCTGCTGCCCCCAGACCCTGCTGGGTGTCAGAGGATTTCACCTCACCTACAAACCAGATCTGGGATGGGAACTGACACAGCGCCAGAGCCCCTTTGCTGGTGCAGTGGAGCTGGGCTGGGCTCAGCCCCCTGCATCCCTCAGGAGCAGCTTCCCAGCACCACTGGGATCTGGGCAGCCCCAGAGCACCCTCAGGCACCTGCTGAGCAAAGAACCTGCACGTCCCTTCGTGGGGCTCGGCCAGAGGATGACCCCACCTTGCCGTGCTGGACCCCTCTCCCTCTCCAGCAGCCCCAGAGCCAAGCCCATGGAAAGCCATCCTACTTACGTGGTGAGCAGGGAGGGATGGGGCAGCAGGAGGCCCCTTCTCCAAAGGCAGGCTCATCCCAAGCCCCACATCTCTCTGGGTGTTGTCTACTGGGCTCTGTTGAGTCCAACAAACAATGGAGCATCCCAGCTCTGATGATCTCACCAGCCTATCAGGATATTGTTTAACTCCTTGTGTCCCTGCCCCTGGCTCCTGCGCGGTGTGCCTGGCAGGGTGGGGTGGAAGGCTGTGGTTTGGGAGGCAGGGCAGGGCCTGGAGCAGGAGCCCAGCACGGGGGGGGTTGATGCTGATCCAGACTTGGATCATCAGCAAGTTCCTGAAACATCTCTGAAGTGCAATTTCTGCCCTTTCAGAGCACAGAATCGTAGCCAGCGATTGCAAAGTGCTTTGAAGCTCATCAGTGAGGCATTAGAGGGATGCAAGGTATTAGCAATTATCTATTAATTAACATCCTGAGTCCATTACAGGGAGAAGGATGGGAGGAGAGAGGTGGTTCTGGAAACACTGCTTCCTTCCAGGAGCCCCCAGCCAAAGTTTAATCCCCTCTGACAGCGGTGTGGATCTGCCTGCTGCAGGGAAGGGATCCAGCAGTCCAGGGCTGGGTTCCAGCACTGGAACCTCCATTCCCGAGGGACCCTTGCTGGGTTGGTCAGTGGAAAACCAAGTCTGAGCTGCACCACAGACCTGCTGGGGTGGGGTGGAGTGGGAAGAGGCTGTGCAGCTCTCCCAGTGTGTGCACGGGGTCAAGGCTGGGCACAGAGGTGGCACAAGAAGCTGCAAGGGGAAGGGGAGGGTGCAGAAGGTCAGCGTCAGGGGACACCACCTCATCCCGGTGGGAGGAGCTCACAGGAGGACAAGAACCTGGTTGAGGTCCTTCAGCTGAGCTCTGTGCAGACCTGTGGCCAGTAGTGATGACTGTGCTATGGAGCTTTTGGGAAGGGGCAGGAGGTTCCCAGCTCAGGCCAGGGGCAGAAGGGCAGGGGTGGGATGAGCTCGAGCTCCCATCCTCATCTGTCCTCACCTCTGGATGATTTCTCTGAGCACAATGGCCCTGGTGAGCTCCACCGCCCATTGATCTGGGAAGCAGCAGCCAAAGGAACCAGGTATTTGGGGGTGCTAGGGAAGATTTATTGGAGCAGATGAAAAGGTTCTCTGGAACTGGGAGAGCTAAGTGGGTTTGGGTTCCCTACTGCAGGTCCAAGGGAGGAGGTTTTTGTCTCAAAGGAGCAGTTGGCATGAAAGGGGAGGTTCCATTTCAGCAGCAGCAGGATCCACTTCTCACCCTGGTTCTGCACCATCTCCAGGCTGAACTGAGCTGGGATCTCTCCCGAGATGAAAGGGGGATCCCACCCGGGATGAAAGGGGGATCTCTCCCAGGATGAAAGGGGGATCTCTCCCGGGATGAAAGGGGGACCTCTCCTGGTCAATGCAGGCAGACGTTGGGGCTGCATCCCCCACCCCAGCTGGTCCATGCCCCCTCCCTGGGCAGGCTCAACCCCCCCGGACCCTCCACACCCCATTGCGGGCTCCAGCCCTGCATCCCCGTGGTCCCTGTGCTGTTACTGTGCTCTCTGTGCTGTCCCTCTGCTGTCCCTGTGCTGTCCCTGTGCTCTCTGTGCTGTTCCTGTGCTGTCCCTGTGCTCTCTGTGCTGTCCCTGTGCTGTCCCTGTGCTGTCCCTGCCAGGACAGGAGCCCACATTCCCATGGATGTGGAGCTGCTGGAAGTGCCCAGCTCCAGGGAGAG